TGTATTAAAACATTCATAATCGGTTGAATCCTTCTTCAGTTTGAACTGACAGAGCAAATTTGATTAACATCGTTATTTGGCAACCCAAAACGGAAATGAGAAGATCAAAAACAGACATCATATACACAATTAAGCCAAAACTCTTTGAACTGTATGACAAGTCATCATGATATGGCTGATATATCTGTTGTTTTGTAACACAAGTTTGTTTAATGTGCTTTTTGTGGGAACAACAATGCGTAAAGTTCATGAACTTTTGCTAATACATGTAAATCATTTATGATATATTCGGCATGAGCTCTGTCTCCACCCGTATGCATGGTACCAATGAAGAACGAACGGACGCAGATGTTAACGAGGTCCAAAATTCTGACTTTACTTATCCTTATTGTGAAAGATTGGTTTTCTGATCTTAAATTAAATAAATGGTGAATGCTTATTTCTCAAGTTTTTAATTTTTTCAGTCAAGTATATTAGTTGACGCGATTTCTTCCAAGGTAATTCCGTATAAGTGGAAATTTTAGCCTGACGGAATTTAGCGATATATTCTTAAAAACTTTTATTTTGAGCGAGATTTAATTTTAGCGATTTAAAATGCTCACTAAAGATGCTATTACAAATAAAACGCAAGTAGTTAGCGATATTCAATCTTAGCGATCTCAGCACCCTCACTAATAATGCCAAAATTAAGTCCTCTCTAAAAATTCTGCTTATACGGTTCTGTAAACTTACCTTTTTCACGGGGTCAATCACAATAGGTATACACGATTTTACCCACGAATTACTATGCAAAATGTTTGTGTGGCAAGAATGTTATTTTTTTATTAATTACTGCATTGCACTGGTTAGTATCGACTAGATGTCAGTCCCAAATTAAAAAAAATTAAAATTTAAAAGAAGTATATAATTTGTTATTTATGATATAGCATACATCAGATTTTAATTGACGTGTATACGCAATTTTTATATAATGTTATTTGGTCATATAAATATCCGCTTGAGAAAACAGGTGTCGAGATCTCGAAAAAACTGAATAAAAAATTAAATTAAGATAAAACATAAACAAAAATTAATAATTGTTGGTTTCCTGTCTTATTATCATTATTTTATTCGCCACCTTTCTTGTATTAAGTAAATTCAGTTAATCTGTTTACTTCGAATGCGGAAAAGGAATCAGAGCTTGGATGTTGCAGTGAACGGCAACTAAACTAAAGAAAAGAAATTAGAATATACCCCCCTGCAGATGCTTCCATATCAATGTGAATAATCATGGCTTTTCTGTTCTTGATAAATAAATTTTTAAAAAAATTTTCTATATGTTTTTTGTAAAGCTTTGACCGTCCATTGTTACCCCACCATATCCCCGGGGGTCATGATTTGAACAAACTTGAAAATACACAACCTGAGGATGCTTTCATATAAATATAACTAATCATGACTTTGCTGTTCTTTAGAAGAAGATTTTTGAAGAGTTTCCCTTTATATTCCTGTGCAAATTCTTGATCAACCATTGTAAACCCAGCTTATCTCCGGGGGTCATGATTTGAACAAATTTGAATTTACACTACCTCAGGGTGCTTTCACATAAAATTGACTAACCATGGCGTTTCGGTTCTTGAGAAGAAGATCTTCTTCGATTTTACAGTTACATTCTTATGTAAAACTTTGACTGTCCATTCATGATTTGAACAATTTTGAATCTACACCATCTGAGGATGCTTTCACATACATGTAAATATTATCAATCATGGCCCTGCTATTCTTCAGAGGAAGATTTTTTAAATATTTTTTTTCTACACATTCCTATGTAAAACCTTGACCGTCCATTGCGACCCGAACCTATCACCGGGGCTCATGATTTGAACAAACTCAAATCTACACCACATGAGGATGCTTCCATTAGAGTTTAATCTTTTCACAGCATTTTGTAGAATTTTGACAAAGGAAAAAACAACAATATTTCTATCAAATAGGTACCCTATTTTCTTAAAAATGCCTTAGAGAAACATGCGGTAAATGTGGCAACGGTCTATTCAAAAAAATGTTTTTTTAATAGAAGATTTGATAAACTTGCTTGATAAATGACAAAATATAGGTGCACTTTTTTGTAGCCGAAAAATAAGATTTATAATAAGAAATGTGCAATCAAAGAAAAGGTGTAATTTTATTATGATAAAGAGAAGCAAGTGCTCCAAACATGTTTTATTAGTTTTCCTGTATTAAGAGAGATCCATTAAAACATGTACACATATCTAAATGAAGGACTAACAATGCTAACTTTATGTTCGAATTGCAGTTAGCAAAGCTAAGCAGAGTTCTTGCCAGGGTAGACCAAATTTCGGTGACCAGGGTATTTTTCCTGTGCCTGACAACGCAGTTGCATATAAGCTCAGAGAAATAAATAAGATTTTGAAGAAAATAAAGTGAACAGAACTTTTCCATCGGTCATATTAGATAGATCTAAGACATTGTGAGATCTTTTTATTCCCAAAACACATGAAAACAATCAAAGGAAGATTGTACAATGTCAGATATGTCATGGGAAATGATATTCGTTAGTGCCTTTGGGGCAGCCCTAAAGATGAGTATGCTGAGGTTTTCTGTACATGGTTACAAAGACATAATACATGTGTAAAGGGTAAGAGGGAATGCCTTGAAGGATTGAACCCATTAAGAATATGTATTATGTACTTTCTCATATTTTTAGATGACATGTTGCATCATTTATTGACGACCCTCGTAAACGAAGAAAGATATTTAGTTTCAATTTTCCCCTCTTTGCTTTCAGAAATAATTGAGTATAGAAAACATTTTATTGATTTGATGTAAATAGCCAATTAGGGAAGATTTATCAAGTGATTCCTCAGAAGTGATTTATCATCAAACTGATCAGCAAATTGTTTCTAAATAACCTTAATTACCTTGTGAATAATTAAAATAAAAGGTAACTTTTTTATGGCTGATATTGTCAGGTTTGAATCAACTCTGAAAAAGAGATATGTATACTGTTGATTTAAAGTCTGCATTCTACTGGACTTTACAATTTTCTCTGACCGTTACTCTGATAAATCATGGCTGCATACTTTTTTCCTTGTTTGGATTTTCTTCATCTTCCAATAAATTTGAGCAATTTAAGTGTTCAAATTTCTTCTTATTTCAAGACAGATAAGAAATTGAAAACACCTGAGTATCCATCTGAGAAGATACCCGGTATTCTAGTTCCATTTCATTCGTAAAGGGGTTTTGGTTGTTGTTTACTCTTTCGTTTCAAATGCAAGCTTCATAACTTCTCTCTGCTATGAATCCGCTAAGTTGATAAAATAAAGTTCCTGTTCAATGTATAAGGTTCAGATTAAGATTTAAAGTATAATTGTAGATAGAATATATCTGAAGGTTTATAATTTTTGTGATCATCATTAAGGACCAATCCTTTTGTCATATACCATAAAAAATATATTATTTTATTCGGTCAGTTGACTCATGTGTAATAATATTTTAAGCTACTTTGTAAGGATTCATTTAATTTGAATCAATATTCCACAGAAGGAGGACTTATTCCAAAACTCAAGAAAATGTAAGAACAAAAATAATTATGTTAACTTTACAGATATTAACGATATCATATAAAATCATTATTTTAACCATTTTATCGTGTATGAATACCATAGATTTGTATTTTAACTCACACACTAAACAGGATGATACTCTCAGTCTGCCAATCTAAACAGAAATCTGATTGGATGACTGAGCTCAATCTATCAGAAACTATTCCAGACCTTTCAAACCATTTACTTAATACAAGAAAATTTTCGCCTCTTTCAGCAAGTTCACAGGAGGACGAATTTAAAACGGGGTGAATTCTAAAAGCACAGTATAATTTCTTGTACAGAACTTTGATTAGGCGAATTTAAAACGGGCCAAATATATTTGCAGGTGTGAAAGGGCGAAAATAACACGGGGCGAAAATGGCACTGTATACAGTAATTGACAGAATGGTATATTTTCTTCCTCTGTTTCATACAATATATTAAGCAATTATGTTCATGCTAAATATCAATGCAGATATCGCCTTCTGCCTGATCGACACAGTGTGCATGAATTTAAAGTACCTATTCGAAGTATTGTAATGTTTATATATTCTCGAGGTCGCTCTTTCTCATCCTATTTCTTTACAATAAACATGTACATGTATACGTGTTTCCTTCACGTCATGAGCTCGCTCCGTGATATGAAGGTTGTGGGTCCACAACCCAAACGTGATTGAATTAAATTGATTTTAAAACATATGAAGCAATTTTTCCTTCGCCAAGACCTCGGCACTTTGAAAGTTTTGAATGTTTCGGATGATACCCTTAAAATTCAAGAAATCGTGTCTCGACTTCATTACGATGAAGATCATCTTTCATCACTGCTCAGTGGTCATGAACTCCAAGTAAATGTTATAAATTTTTCAATGATGTTTCTATTTGAGTAAAAAAAAATCACGTATGGAACGTAAAACACCAATCAATCAAATAAATTCTTAATTCTTATAATATCTTTTTATATACCTACAGTCGCTAACCATGTATCTAACAATGAAGAGAAGATGAAGGATGCTAAAGTACCTTTTATAGTGTTCATCAGAGATTGATGCAAACTGTTGTATGTAAAAGGAACACTATAAGATTTAACATGAACAAAAATTATTGTTCCAAACTGCAAGAGTAGACTTTGAGAAGGTCATAAAAATCTAGACTTCATTCAACTATTTTCAATGCCCGATGTATATGTACTTTAAATAATAAATAGATAAATGAACAGATACTTTTAAATAAAGGACATATGCACGTTTATTTAGATAAAAGAGTTCAAATGATCATGGAAACTGAGTTAATTCTTTAAGGAAAATGCATCATATCAAGAAAAAAATAACCAGCTCAGTTTGATTGAAAAAAAAAATGTAATTAAATGCACATTTATGAGAAGTTCTCTACAATATATATTTGATACAGGTCATGAATAATTTTCTAAGAAAACCATACAAGCTTTACAAAAAAATGTTTTCTCGTGAAAATAATGGTGTTTCGTTCATTTCCTTAGACTAAAGCAGAGGAGTTTCATTAAAAGTCTTTAAAAGTACGATAAATTTCACAAACGTGATGATGTTTGTTCGCAGGATCTTCGTCATCGCAGCCGAAATCTGTTTCACTTGATGACGTCAAATGGGTCTCCTCCGGATAATTCGTCTGTCTGATGGTTTTACAGTTATTGTCGAAAAAAGTTCCATCACGAAATCTCCATACGCCATCAATCTCCTCTCCTTGAAGCCATACAGTATAATGGTAGTTGAGTCTTTGTTGTCCTAAAAATGGAATGTTATATTTAAGACCTTTTCCAACATTTTGATAACGCAAAAGAATACTCAGTGTAGTTTGCCATTCGTAGAACAGCAAACTTATAAGAACATAATTTTCTGAAGATTACAATTAAGATTAACAAATTCGTATATTTGTCGAAATCATGGCTCATTATTCTTCATTTACTTATCTCCTCCTTATATAAAAATTCAAATCCTATATTGTACATACGCATATGACTTCTAAAAATGTTGTACTTCTCCCATGAATCAAGTTTTGGTAGTTCTGCGCCCTCATTAGAACAATTGGTATCTGCTTCTGAATGGTTAGATGAGGATGGTACAAACTTCAAGCAGATCTCAAAGAACAAGTACTTGTAAACAGTGTATCCTGGCGGACAATGGGCTAAAATCACAGAAAACATGAATTCATTTTTTGATTGATAGATTGATTGATTTTTTTTATGGTTGATAGATATATTGATTAATTGAGGGTTGCATAGATAAATGAACTGGTTTATTGATTGATAATTGATTGATTTGTGAATAGATGAATGAATTGATAGATAGATTGTAATATGAAATTGTTACAAAACAAATAAGTTTTATTAATATACGGACTTTAAACGAAATATTACAAGAAGCTTAGCTCCAAAAATGTAGCCCTCTCCGACTTTGTTATCTGATGTTTTCTGGAGAAGTCTACACATCCACAGCATCTGCATAATGGTGCAAAATTATATTTTAAAAGCAGGCGACTGCAGGCAGAATAAATTGTTTTTACAATCAACTTACTTTTAATAACACAAATTTTTATTCACTGTCGATAACATAGCCCGTTACACACTAAAACCATGTAAAATAAATCTGCTTGTTTACCTGTCGGTCTACTTAGCAGCCATGGCAGTTCACGCATGACATATAGAGGCTTACGCTTAAAATTTAGAATAGCTCAATAAAGCACTTGTCGGTGTTTATAAATAATTGTGATGAATAGTATCACTAAACATTGATAAATAGAATCATTTCATGTGATATTTTTTCGTAAACAGTGATATTTAGACATAAAAAAGGTAATTCCAAAGAAATCCGCTCAGTAAACATGGCGGATAAATTTAAGTTGTGATGTTGACATACACGAAAAATAACCGATATATGCATTGTTTTGTGTGTTTTCGGATCGGTTTATGTCTTGGATAACTACATTTTGGATGTCCGGGTAAGACATTTTAATAAATGATCGGTTTTTGACAATTTGAGCCGAAATCCGTGCCGGAGTGAATCGCTTCCGCTATTACAGAGATCTTCAGGAATTGTAGCTCTCTCCAAAAAAGGGAGAGGGCTACATTATTGCAGCTACCCAAAACTTTGTTATTAAGCAAACAAAATTCTACAAGAGTTACGCAGCACTGTTAAGGCTTTATATGAGAAATCGACGGAAAATGCAAGTGAAAAAACGGGATTTTTTAAACTAAATTTATTTTTATTTAGCTGTTTTATTATCACAGAACTTAAAAACTTATGGAAGTAGCAAAGTATAACCTACTCTGTACTGTACGAGATTTGGTCTCATCGATGGACAGTCATGTGATGAATGCATAGTACGTGTACTGAATGTAGGTCACTAACACATTTCAATATCGCAAGGACATACCCTAGTTAAAATTAAAAATTCAAACTATTAATTATTTCTGCATACTTTGTACTTTCTGGAAAGTGCTGCTGCTTTGAGTAGAATTCGCGTTTTAATTGTTAAAATTTCAAGTAAATAGGCCCATTTCGAAATTTGTTTTACTCTTACCAAATATTTTGTGTACTTTAAAAGTCACGCTCTCGAATAAAAGAAAGCCAAAAAATATCCTTTATTTATATTTAAAAAAGAAGATTTATTTGGTGTATGTGTGAAAGAACAACAAGTAATCTCTTGTAAAATTTACTTAACCTGTAATAAAAGAATTATTAAAATTTATATTAATAAGAATCATCAAGTTAATGAATAAGGTTAAACAAAGGATATATATTGGTAATTGTAGCCTATTTAAAACCTGTAAATAATATTCTGTTTATAATATAAAACGAGAGGCCTAAAATAAGAATCACCTGGCACAGGAAACGTCATCTTATATCGAAAATCTTTGCAGATGTCAAGATTAATGAGTGTGTTTATGGCTGTATGGGGTTAAGAACTGGAATGCTTGGAGATCGTTTATTATGCTAATATAGCTTAAAATAATCTAAAAAATACATGCATGCAAATTATTTCCTGGTATTAAATAAAAAGTATATTTTTCTTTTCATTTAATTTTTCCATATAAATTTCCCCGCCTATGCCCTGAAAAGGGGTAGCATGGAACATGAAAAAAAAAAATTAATTATCTGCATGAAAATTCAATTAATTGCTCTATTCATTTTATGGTAATGTCTAAAGATCCAATTTCAATCATTATTCGAAAGAAAATATTAAGTCTTTTTTGATATCATTTAGAATATAACAGATAAAGAATTTTACTGATATTGTAAAATGATAGATAAAAATTTAGACTTTAAACAAAATATATACATATTTATGTTTTTTTTTTTCAAAAAAAGAAATATCCTATAGGTAATCAAGATGGTACAAGGGAAAGTAAAAGTCTTTACTTTGCTTAATTTTTGGATTACAAAACTGTTTAAACTTTAAACATTTTTTCTAAGTGTATTTAAATATAACGTCGAAATTTGAAAGGTTATTTAGCTTATATCTTTGCCAACACATTTTTTAGTTCTGTGCTATCCTTAAGAAACTATGATATTTTATTAGACATGATGGAACAAGAATTGCAAAACTCTTGTTTGAAGTCATTATTTCATAAGCTCTAAGTAAATGTGTCGTTTGTACTAATTCTTTTAAATAGAAAAGTATATATTTGGTTTTTATTCTGTCTCCCCTTTTCATTAATGAAAATTATGTTTTATATCATATTATGTTTTTTTTAACATTTTAAGCAAAAAAAAAAATCTGCCAATGTTATACATATATTGAGGAAAAAATCAGCATGGATGGATTTTTTTCGAATAGCGTTTACGATTTCATCAAGAAATTCATCTTATTGGTTGTGTTCTGACAATCAGGATTTAGATAGATTTCTTTTTTAACCACATCTTAACAAAAAAAATGAATGTAAAAGTAGCACATTTCTAGTTCTTGTTAAAATAATTTTGTACAGATAAATAATAGGGGGAAACTGTGAAAATATAAATGGTTTAAACTGCAATAATACTTACGAGGCATGTAAGATTTCCATTTGAGATCATAAGAAACATTGCCAGGGAAGTCAGCACAGCACAGACAGTTCTTCTCATCGATGTTGTAGCTTATCATATAGATGTGTACTTTATATGATAGACAATTATAAAAGCAATGCGAAATACTTTGAGTTTTGTTCTTCTGGAGGCAAGATGAAGTTGGTGGACTGGTAACTTTAATCGCTTTCCAACGCTCACAGTTATTTTGAAAGGGTTTGTCATTTGCTTTTACGAGAAAAAGAAAATCTGCAATTGTTAATAACAGTTTTATGCAAAACAATTGATAAATAGGTTTCATTCCTCTTGTTTGAAAGACTGATAATTTCTTGACAGCATATAATGATTTTTGTTTCTTTCTTTTTCAAGATCACTGCTTGGACCAATCAGAACAAATTAACTGTGTGACACACGTGACTATTTATGCTAACATTTACATGACTTGGAAACCGGAATGCATTCTTCGTGCGCGCAAGGTGAAGATGTAAGCTATTTAACGTATAATGAAGGGATTTTGAAGAACTTTACATAATTTTAAACTAATTCAAAACACATTGCTAGATAATGATAAACGTGAAATGAACCAAATTCACAAGTCTGATAATATGTACTGACACAGTCACTTTGCACATTAAAAGTTTCTGCCCTTGAAAAGAAGAAAATTTTTTATTTGTCAAAATTTTGCAGTAAATAATACATCTTATTTCATAGTTTAATTCAGAGGGAATTTACGCATATTTTCACCAAGAGATTTGTTTTAAATTCAAATAACATTTTACAATATCATATAAAACATTTGCTGCCCATAGACTTCACTGTAAAATTCAAAGTGAAATTAATTGGACAATTTTTAAAATTTTGTAAATTCCTTTGGTGGATCATCTTCAAAATGCTACATGATTAAAAATATCCAGACCAGACCATTTATTAGGTACAACATATGGTCGTTATACATTGGATACCTCAATCTATAAGGGCTTATATCTGTTTTAACTATTAATTGAATATTTATTATGCATCCGGATTGATAGATCCGAGGCGTATATTCTTTTTGTACTGTCTGTTCGTCTGTGTGGTGTCAACTATAACCTTCGCAATAACTTTTGAACCATGAAAGATAGAAACTTTTAGAAGATAGAAACTTTTGAGTTCTTTAAAAATACACAAAGCTCAATGACCTTGTGACCTTCACTTTGACATATATGCTAAAAATATTTTTTTTTTCGAACTTTGTTGACCCAGCGCGCATAATGTTTCACAAACACATCTTGTTTTTATTTTACTTTTAACGTCTATGGTCGATATAATGCCATTGTTAAAAAATACATTATTTAATTATTAAATGACATGTAAGGCAATTATAGTATACTATACCGGTATAGCCAGCTTTATCAATACCAAATTATTTCAGTACGACATTTTTTCATACAATGCTGCATTGCCCTTATTTTACTTTTACTCGAGCTAAAAGTGTGCTTTGTGGGGAGGGATGGCAATCAGCCTTTCAATTAACATTTTCCATAGTACAAGTTATGTGTGGAAAGTAAATGGACAGGCCCCCCTCCCCTCCCCCTCCCCTCCACACTTTGGCTACGTACCTGCACATTTATATATTTTTGATTTTAGCAAATGTTTTTAAAGTTTTGTAGGTAAGGGAAGCTTAGTCGGAAGGTCATCTTTGTTTGTTTAACGTTCCTTTCAAGAATAGTTCAGTTTCGTGCCAGCACCTACTGCGACAGTGGACTTCGGTTAATACGGTCTCATCCGAACAACCGACAGGGACAATTAAAAAAAATATTAGAAAAAAACGCCCTTTTTTTGTACGTAATAGATGTCATGATATGAACCCATAAAAACAAATCTGGTGTTTTATTATTATTATTATGCTAGGTTCTTATATGGAGACATTATTTGGTAAAAAAGAATTACTTCGGCACTTCGAAATTAAGATACATATTTTGTTTAGATGAAAATATAAAAAGATATATTTTCCGGGGGGGTTATATTTTTTTTTTTTTTTTTATCGAATAGGTACTATGTTTGCAGAGAAAAGACCCTTTCTCCGGTTTTCGGAAAAAATATAAAACATAGTAATTAATTATATTTTTCCCAGTTTTTTCTTCAAATAGCTATCCCCTCACTGAGAGGGGTTTGGGTTGGGGGGGGGGGGCGCCAGAGGAACCATAAAACTCTTAATACCGATCAAATAACATAATTTCGCGCCAAAATATTGCTAAAATAGCGCCATTTCAGCCTAAAAAATCAATCAACCAGTTTTAAATATTTCTTTAGTCATTGCAAACAAGGATATGAAGTATCGGGAATCCAAAAAAAAATCCACAAAGAAAAAAAGTTCACAATAGCAGAATTAAAATGCAAAAAATAAAAAATCAATACCGTCTTTATACAAAAAAATGTTTTATGCAACTATATAATAACTCAGTGGAAACCGATGAATAAAGAGAAGCGAGTTTAACTTAGTTATTCCAAGTAACTATTACAGTCCCAATAAACGCCACGTATGACTGAACTGATAATTATTATAAACCTTGTGTTAAACATAGAAACTAATTATGTTTGAAAAATCACATAATTCTGTCGACCTGGGTAAGCATATCAAATAAAACTTAATATTTAATTAGTTAAGCTTATGACAAAAAAATCTGTAGACTTCAAATTGCCGATGTTATTGAGCATGAAAAAATAGATTAACATTCCAAATTAGATAAATCAAAAGCTTTGATATTCATGAACATAAAACCGCCGATGAAAGCAGACAAGAAAAGAAGATAAATACTCCAAATTAGATCCGCTCTTACAAACCTTTGATTTTTATACAAATCTAATTGGATTTTATTTTCATGACCCTCGTGTCTCATGTGATATTAATACTTCTTTTATAGAGAATGTTACAAAACTATTTTCTGTAAATTTTGTTGAAAGGTGATTTACCTGAGGAATAAATAAACACCATTTATCTATTTGTAAATGTTTTTAAAATTGTAAGATGCTGACGATGCGATCGTAATAGCGAGCGCATATCCCTATTTCAATATCAATTCAATTTGGGCTCTTCAAACTGCATGTGCCCATTTGGTGCCTCTAGACTTTAGCGTCGTATGATTTTGAATGCATATTACATTACAAAGCCTAAAGCCTGAACAGTGCTATTTTTAATAAAGAACTGTTTTATTGACAATTTGTCTGCAATATATCCATTCAAACAACGCAAGTTAATTCTTTTTGAACTTTTGTTGTTATTCTCGAGAGAACGCAATTCAAACAAGCGATGCATTGTGGGTCTGGAAGTAACTGCTGGGAAAAATCGTTTCGATCAATGTGCAAAGTCTGAATTTTCTCTTGCATTTTGCACTCGCTATTTTAATTTGTTTTCATAAAGAAAATCAAATACTCAACGATTTATTTTTTCTGTAAATCGAAAATGTTTGTAAATGAAATGAAAATAAGTTACGCGAGTAATGCTATACGGTATTTAAGTACATGTAGTTAGTTTATTGTAAATTTAAAAAAAACAAATAGTTTGCATAAACTGTCTTGTTATGTTTCAGGATTATGCATTATATTTTGAATGTAGTCACATGAATTTGTTTCAAGTACAATTTTCAAAAAATTTGACACTGTGCCTGAAGTCAGTTCATATTTCAGATGCAGGCCCATTGTGAAACGTATGGCAAAAAAGTGAAATGTAGGATTTAAAAGCATTGAGTCGTTAAGAAATATCTAATGAAGGGGGCGAAAATTGTTGGTCTCATTATTTTACCACCCATATTTCTTTTTTGTATAAACATACCTGACTTAAGGTGGCTCATTACATCAACAGTTTATTTTAGATTTCTATACAGCACCACTTATAATGTAGATGTCAAATATCCAGATGGGGGTATTGATATCATAAATATTTTTAATAGATTTTTTTAGTTTTTGTCTAATTTTAGTGAAATGTTTCATTTCAAGTTCATTATTAACAGAATTTCAGAACTTTCAGTGTCAAATGATCGGCATCTTCTAAAGACAAGTACACACAGTGAAAATACCTCATAATACCTAATAATAATTTTATTTGAAAAAATAATTTTCTCCTAAAAAACAATTAATGTCATTATCTTTTTAATCTATGCATAAAACATTAAGAAAATGAGATCTGAAGGCACAAGGAATGTATTTCAATGAATTACATGTGTCAAATTGAATGAAGAATGTTTAAACGAAATGAAAAATCCAATTTAAAAAATATTTGGTATGAAAAGTCCACTTTCAAGAGTTATCTTTTCTAATTACCCAAGACTCAAAACACTAAGGAACGTTTGACATTACATCTAAAATTCAGAACAAAGCTTTAAATTGCCAGTGTATACATTTAAATCAATAAAGCAAATATATAAATTAACACCAACACAGTAAATAGTGCAAGTACACCTGTAGATAACTTTTTAATTTCAACAAGGTTGTAGATTTTAACTCGAATTTCCTCCATACAAACATTGATAGAGCTCACTGCATGCTGCATTGCATTGCTATGAAATTGACATTACTTGTTTGGCGAAGAGTTGATTGTTGTTTTCTTTTGCGTCTGCTTAAAAGCAATTCTTCTTGGTTTATGCATAATGAATCCGTTACTTTGCTTTCACTGTTTATAACACCGCATGTTTCATCTATTTTTAGATCAAAGTCAAAGTATTCACTATAGTAAATCAAAGGGTCAAAGTGTTCACTATAGTAAATCAAAGTGTCAAAGTGATCACTATAGTAAACTGAAGTGTATAAGTGTTCACTATAGTAAATCAAAGTGTCAAAGTGTTCACTATAGTAATTCAATGTGTCAAAGTGTTAACTTTATTAAAACAAAGTTTTCAAGTGAACTATAATTACATGTAACTGTAGTATTTTTTGTTTCGAAGGTAACAAAATATAATCCGAGAATCAACGGATGAAAAACGCACCTCAAAATACTGGAACGAAATGAAAAGAGACACGAGATGCAAAAAATATATTTACCTCGGAACCAATTAAAGCTTATAGCAAAAACAAAAGAAAAGACGATCTTATTATTAGATTGTTTACCACAAGCATATGTAGCTAAGGACGCCTGAAAAGGCGAACCTTAGGACAAGTACCCGATATAAAAACCACCGAAAACTCTTTACTATATAACTATATATTTATTAATTAATGATTTTATTTCATACCGGGAAACAAAATGTCACAAATTTTGGTTTAGGGTG